TTATGATGCGAAATTTTTCCGTTATTGATGAAGTATGTTCATGGAAGAAGAAATTAATTGCTGAAATGTGAAATGAAAGTAATATATGTTTTAATAAACTTAAATTGATTTAAATATGTTCATGGAGGAATAAATAAATTAATGCGCCGCGTGTTCATGAAAATTTGATGGTGCATTAGTTGTGTTAGATAGCTCGTATAATTAAGAAAAAACGAATGGGTCATATTGTCCAAATACTGACACTTACTTGCCCTCAGTAGGAGCAGTGAGTGGACGTAGCACTGATACTGGGTGATCATGACCCACACAAAGGCATGAAATGCATCGCTATTTGTACAAGTGTCACTCATTTTTCTGAGTGGCTTCTACTGCCAGTTTGGTGCATGACCATTGAGGGGGGGGGGCGGTGACCCCCTCCCTCCCCCTGGTCGCCCTATGCTGCTTCCCTCCATTGAGGGGGGCGGCGACCCCTCTCGCCCTCCCCCTTGTGTGGCTCCCCCTTTATTGATCCGGCGGCGTCACCATCGTCGTCCTTCACCCACACCACCTACATACAATCCATTGTTGAACTAAAGCTCACAAACAGCATTCAATTATACTCCTGTGCTTTACGCTTTGTTTTCTATTTCCCTCTTGATTCTTGTTTATTCTTTCATCGGTTGCTCTAGATTGCATTAATTGCAACATCAGGAAATAAAGACGCTGTGGTATTTCGTTGGCGCCTCCCAGCCTCCTCGCTCTCACTTACAGTCCGATATGAGTCCGCTGCCAGCCATGCTCCTACAAACGTCACGTGATAGCTTGAATCGTTCATTATCCAGAAATTTGAAGCAGTTAGAGAAAAGCGCGTTTTCTGCAAGATATGGTCAATTTTAAGAGCTTATTCCTTCCAAAACTCCTTCATTGCTTGTGGCTGTGCAGATTTTTTTTGTGGGTTTGAGCTTCAAGATTGAGTCGCATCTTGCTGAGTTCTTTCCGTTCCTGTGAACGCTTATTCTATTCCTATTATTTATACCGCATTCCCTGTGAACGCTTATTCTATTCCTGTTATTTATACCGCATTCTACCTTGAAGGTGAAGTTGAAGCTACCTATTCTGATGGTTCAACTTAAAGGACTGTCAATTTGAAGAGCAGTGACTCTAATTTCCTAACATTTTGTTGATGAACTTCTTCCTATTTCATCCGAGAACTTGGGCTATAGTTCCTAACAATCCTGGTGGTTTACCCTCCGTTTCGTAATGTTTTTTCGGCCCTCGCTTGGGTCGTCGCACGAGGGCTGATTCTATAGACAGACCGACCACCGGGAGTCCGGGACCTTTTCTCTCCGGCGTCTACCTGACGATCTGGCCTCACAAATTACGGCCAACCGATAGAGCAGGTAACAAGGCTGATCATTCACACTGCAGCCTTTTTTTCCTTATTGTATTATAATGTATATTACACATCGTTAGTGTCATGATCGTGCTGACTAATTTGAATCACAGACAAATCTTCGAAAAAATCCACTTCGAGTCTTCGGATACAAACCTAAGATTTCGCTCTGAATGCGCATCTGTGTGTTGCGTTTTTATCGTGTTTAGTCTTGCTTTGTCTAGCACTAACCTTTGCAGGAATGATACGATGTATTCCTGCTGTTTGGTTTTCAATCCACGTTTCTACTTTTCTATCCGGTTTTGGGGTTGAATAATGCAATTCTCAATCAGGAACGAGTGCCTTGATTTTCTGAAGAAATGCCAGGTAGTGCGTCATTTGCGGCTGTAGCCAAGGAAAAACATCCGTAGGGCCGGTCAATAATCATCATAAGTATTATAAAAACACATAAATAATGATACTCGCCGGCCCGTTTACTAGATTACATCCTCGCGTTCCGGTCCTGGAAGCGACCTGACCGAATCTTCCCTCAGACGGCCCCGGACCGAATCGCGCCCTCACACTTACAAAAAATTGAGAGACTCTATCCAAATATCGATGCACTTCTTGCCCTCGTGTGGGCCAACTGACCCAGATTTTTCCGACAGAAGGACGTATCAGTGCTACAGGCAGAAAGAGCGTCACTATTTGTACAATATGACCCATTCATTTTCTGAGTGCACGCGTGTTCTTGCTTGGCTGATGGAACAAGTTAAATATTACCAGAAATTCTAAATGCTGTGTATGTCCCGATTTAATATTATATTTATTTCGATAGTTAACAACTTTTTTCTAACAAATATCACTTGGTAATCCATGACGCGCTTTACACTAATATATAATACATATTAGCCTTGTGTATTATAGGTACTATTATTTTTTTCAATGCTTTGTTAGCTGGCGAATTAAGGAAACTAATGAAATAATTACGTAATTTATTAACTCAGAATTTAATGGTAGGCCACTGATACCAAGTGTATGGCTTGTGATTATTGCGTCAAATCAGGGTTGGCGATTTTTTTTATTTTTTTAAAAAAATCAAAAAAATCAAAAATCAATGATTTTTTTTATTTTTTCAGGATTTTTTTTATTTTTTTGATTTTTCCAACTTTTTGTCTTTTTGAAGTGTTATTTTTTATGTTGCAATTAGCCTATTAACAATAACAGTATATGGATCATAATGGATGGCTAAAAAGGGAACTTATTGCCTTCAATAATGGCCAACAGGCCAAGGTGGTGTTTACCACTTAGGAATTTTTGGGTAAACAATTATTGGTACTATGTCTATTCATTAGCTTTGTAAAGTTTGTATGGAACAAGGTAATGAGCTAAATATTGATCATTTAACTGGCTTCAATATACAAAAACACTTCAGGAATGCAGATCTTCTAAACATTGAAGAGTCACATAACAGATAGGTAGCTGATAGCACAGTGCAAAGCACTATCAATAGATCTACTAGTTTTATGTCCTATAAATCTACCAGACTCTACCCTCTATACACTCCGACTAGTAGTGACTGAGTGACTGACTGCACTGTTCCCATTTAATTCAGACCAATAAACCAATACTAAACATAAACTGAACGATAACCAAACCAACCTCATACGACTTGAAACGAGACTTAATTTATGAGAAAATCTAATACTGTTTGAAATAAACATGTGCACAATTCAAATATTTTATATCCATTCACTGCATTCATAAAAACACAACATGTGCACATTCATAAACATGTGCACAAATTAAATATTTTAATTAGAATACTCGTATTAGGGTGGAAAATCTTTCTAATTGCCTAAAAAAACAATACTACCTCTCAATATACAGGGTGGGGGAGAACCGATTGAGCAGTTTTTAGGTAAAATAAAAGAGTAATGGAGGTACATAAAGAAGAAAGATTATATTCCTAGAAGTTAGCATAACATACCATTTAGAATACTTATGTTTTGAAAACAATATCTGGAAGATAGGGCCTTTAGCTGCAACACACTGTTGGAGTCTACACTAAAGGCAACAAGTTTATATACCAATTTGTCATTTGTAGTACATTTATACTAAACCATGAATAACAATACCTCAATATAAATTAAAGACTGCCACTCAATATATTTAAATATATGAAAAAATCAAAAAATCGAAAAAATAAAAAAAATCACGATTATTTTATAAAAAAATCAAGTGATTTAATCACATGATTTAATCATTTTGATTTAATCATTGCCAACCCTGCGTCAAATCGTTGCCAGACATTAATGTGTTATTCAATAAACATTTTTTTGTTGAGTAAAAGCTAACTAAAAATCGTTCAGTAAACCGAAAGAATTCTCCCATCAACAGAAAGGCCCTCGCATACCACTAGCTAGTGGCACGGGTACCTTAGTTTTGGAACCACCTTTCATAGAGCTCTATTATAATGTCTCAGTTTTGTGTTGATTTCTTTTACATTTATTTTGAAGCAATGCTGTGTTGCGTCGATAGTACTTAATATTTTGTCAACTAGAAGTGTGTGATGGCTGACACTTTTTTCGTCACAAAAAATTGTACGAAATTCTTATTTTGTCTGCATTGACAAACAATGCTGGTTTTTAGTGTTGCCATAAAATCGAATTTCAAGCGTTAGTAATAAACTTTACTGAACTGTAATTATTCGACTAGACTGGGGTGTGGTCAGAAATGAATGATTAGAGAAACAAATATACACGCCGTTAATATTTGCTTGTATTGTAAGGATAATGCAACCCAACACTCCAGTAATGCTGCTCATAAGTTATGTTGCCGTGAGTTATGTGCAACTGCAGAGTGTTATTGCTGAGTGTTACGGTTGATTTAAGACTTTATGTTGTAATTGTTGTCCAGGAGCTCTCTATAAGCTCTACGTTGTGGAGACGCAGGATAGTTATTCCGCAAATCTGGAAACTATCTTTGATGTTTTATTTGCGAGTCCACTGTGTTGGACGGGCGCCGGCGCGTACTTTTAGCGGTCGATTCTTCGTCTGTAATTAATGTATTTAGTTAAATTCTCGAGCTGCTACATGTGGCGGCGCTGATCTCCGTGTGTGTTTTATATACAAATTCGGTTTAATTGATCGGCTCTCATTTTTTTAATAATCTGCGTCTATACGAAGTCCTTACACATTGCATGGGACAACTAAATGTACAATTTAAGTAATTGATATCGCTTTGCTATTAGTCGCGCTGGGAGCTGCTCTTGCTCGTATTTTAAGCACCCATGTGCGGGCCGAATATCCATCTTTCATTAGCTGTTGCTGCAATCGAAGAGGAAACAACAGAGAAATCTGGTTATTTCCTGGCAAGATTAATATTGAATTACAGCCATCGTTTTAAAGTGCGGACCTATCTCTCAAATATCCTGCCAACAATGCTTCATTACAAGTGCGTGTTATTTCCTCCTAAAATTGGCAGACGTTACGTGAAGTGTACACTGTCTACTTTCGCCAGCCTAAACTCTTTGTTTACTTTCATTACTTACCATGGGTATTTAGGTACGAATAACATCAGAGACGATAAATGTAACCATAAAATCGAAGTGTTGATCAGAGTTACTAAATTGTGTATTTTTTTACAGAAGAGCATCTATCGAGAGGCGGCTGAGGCACCGCCAAGATGACCACGGACATTTGTATAGGCGAGCGCTGGGAGCCGCTCAAGCAGGACGAGCTCATTGAGGAGTACGATGGCGGCAACTCTTCCTCCAGACTCTTCGAGAGGAGCAGGATTAAGGCGCTGGCAGGTAACTCTTCGGCATATAGGCTTCTATTTCCTTTAATTGTATTGAATTTTGTAATTTCAAGTAAGTATCAATGCTTGAACTTCCAGAAAAGCTGGTCAAAGCGCTAGCAGGTATCTATATATCTTTTCGGCATCTTGCTTTTGTATTTCACGGAAAAGTGTTCATTTTCTTACAGAGTAGGGAGCAATTGCAGGGTGCCATTCTACAGTTTCTGCTTAAAAAAAAAGTTGCGACCCAGTAGCTCAATACTGCTTAGTTTCTTCAATGCATTCTGCTTTGTATTCTCCTTCTAATCCGACAAATCACCTCCTCTCCTCACTTAGTCACTCCCTAAAATTCTACCTTGTTGTAGGGTAACTAAACTTCAACTTGGGGACCTTTTTTGTCACACAGAGGTTTCTAAACATGCCATCTTCTCACAATATTTTTTGTTTGTATACGAATACTGGATGCACCTGCATAAATCGTTAATCTTGCTTCTCAGTCATAACCGGCATTCTCTAACTCTGTGAACCGATCATTGACTCTATACCATTTAGAGAAGACGAAATTCCTATATGGAAATATTAACGCAATTAGGAGAGGATCACGGTCGCTTGATGCATTTGTTGACTTGTTTTAGGTGCGTATCAGTGTTATCAGTGAGCACGATAACGTTATCACTGTAAGTGTGTGTGTGTAGCGGTATCTGCTAAGGATATCCCCTGGTCTGCCTTCAGTGCAACACTAGGTGGTGTCGGCAGCTCATACGCAACATTTATGCTCCATGTCTCTGCAATGTTATCTATATGAAGAGTAATTACTCTTGAGGATATAGTTTTGATGGTCGTGTGTTGCTTTTGATGCTTGTTTTTTAATTTGATGTGAATTAATGTTGATCTGAAATTTACGGGTCACGCGAATTTGTTGAGACGTTCGGAAATGTTAAATCTCAGGGATTAGGTAGATATTGAAGCGGCTTAATCCGCCGTAATGGACTGGAATTGTTTTATTCTGGTGAAGAACTGATTTTTTTGTAAGATTATCTCACGGAGAAGTTGGAGAAATTGCCACGATAATCGTTGATAGCGAAAATTTTATTATTGGCCGTCAATAACATGCTGAGTGCCCACTTGCCGAAATTAATACACTTCTTTGTATCATTTTACCCTAGAATGTATAGAAGGTGTAGTTCTATAGATGAAGTATAGAAGTGAAGAAGTGATTTAATGTACCTACCTATAGGTGTAATTGCATAGATTTAATTTCCTTTACTCGCATTCATTCAACTTCAGAATATTGTAGTTGAGTTTCAGCAGGATGAAACAAGTCACCATGCTAATTTTCTCCGTTGCCACATTCATTAATCCTCTTACACTTCCGTCACGCTTATTTCGTACAGTCAATCTTCCTTTTGCCAGGTTTCATTCCTTATCAGTTCTCATGTCACTCACTGTAGTGCCCGCCGCTCTCTTACCTATGATACGGGAGCTACACCTGTCATAAAAAAAGCTCCGTAGAAATGCATGCTGTAACCACGGGTTTTCACTATCTTTTCAACCTATAATTTGATTATTGTTAACAATTTTTGTGAGAGTTAGAATCTTTCATATTGTTTTTTTTTTACTTAAAATTGTATTGTATTGCAGTGGATTCTTCCTTGGTCATATTTAGTTGTTATCTTGGTGCGTTTCGTTCTCTTCATAATGAACTTGCGCCCGAATCTGAGATGAGACAATTAGTCTTACAGTGATGATCAAATTGCTCCTTCGTTGATCGAAAGCTCCGTATAACGAGGCCATGAGTTGATGAATATTAGGGTCCCTCGTGCATTGTATTACTTGAAGAATCTCAAGCGCGCGATCGCTGCAATGGAAGGAAGTTGTGACCTCACGGAAACTGATAATTATGAAACTGCGTCCGAACAAGAAGACTTTGTGCTGCCTTTAACGTCTACTAAAAGCAGTGCAAGGTCTCCTAGCACTGATTCCACAACCGCGGAATGGTCAAATCCTTCATTAAAATCATCTGAAACTTCATTTGAACAAAATCCGCTCCCCGACCATAACAAATCAAAAATAATATCTGTGCGTGTTAAGGAAACATCTGTTGAAAATATTCGCCCTGCTTTCTCTATCGGTCACTGGGATAAAAACACCAAACTTGACCCGAAGAAGTACAAAACCGAAAACTCGTCCCTGGAAGTTGATGAGCCAGTACAGCTTCGTAATAAGACGCCAAGAACCAATGAGCGCAGAGGCATGCATCACGCTCTTGCTCCTGCCATCAGAGCTCACGAGCGTGGCCCAGTAGGTCGTCAGGATCGACCATACTCAATGCATGGAATGTCATCGGCTGATTCGAGTCGAGGCTTTGATAATCAGAGTGCCGGACATTTTCATGCCGATGAAAATCGTGTGATGAGTCCCGATAGACAGGAAAGTGGTTCTAAGTCGTTGGCAAATTCCAAAACTCGAAATATGTCTACAAACTTAAGTGATTATTCTGCATCAGACTCTCCTAGCCGTTCAAATTTGACTGGTAAAAGTCCGAAAAGTAGTTTGACTTCCTCGAACGGCGACGCGGATATCAGTTTTCTGAGACAACGTCGTGGGTCTCGTGACAAGGACGAAATCGATCGCGCTCGGCCTCTCAGTGTGTCGTCTGTTGGGTCGTTTACCCGGGCTAAATTGACTCCTAAAAGCAGTTTTAATTCATCTTGCGACGGACGCTCACGGCTCTCCTCCCGTAACAGCCTCATTTTAGATGACGAATTTGTTGACAAATTTTGCGCTCGCAGCGGCAGTGGCGTGTGCAGCGGCAACGCTAGCTTTGAAACGGAACTTGATTTCGATAGAAGCGATAGTGACAACGGAAGGGATGAAGTGCAAGCCGGTAAATATGTGGTCAGGTTGAAGAGAACGCGTTCGAATAAAGCCTCTGGCAGAGAAGTTCTTGTTGCCAACCGTAAATCCGCGTCTCTGGAAGGACAAATTAAGGAGCTGAAAGGTGTGGTTCAGGGCTTTGCAGAAATTTATCATGATTTCGTTCATTTCCTTGGTTCAATAAGTGTGATCTTTGGGGTTCAGCTGCCTGCTGCTTATTCCTGGAATAATTACAGATGCGAATTTACATTTAAATTTGCATCTTGTTTACTTACCCATTGTGTAATTTATCAAATTGTAGATTGCTAGTTCATCGGGGTGAATAGGGTAAAAGTCAGTCTTCTGCTTCAATCTGTAGCCTGTTTTTTTCTCTTGATATTGTATCAAAATCTTGCCAAGTTTACGCCATCGACTGATGTAAATATAATAAAAAATTCAAAAGCAAAGAATATGGGATTTGGATGAACCTATATTAATACTTTTTTTTTCTCTCAAATTATTGATTAAATTACTATTTAAGCAAGCAAATGATGTAAGTGAATATAAGACAAATATGTTGCGTGGGCAGATGAGCGAGAGAGCGTGCAGAAGAAGACCTTCATGAAGTGGGTGAACTCTCACCTCATCAGAGTGAACTCGAGGATAGGCGACCTCTACATCGACTTACGTGACGGCAAGCAGCTCATCAAGCTCCTCGAGATACTCTCCGGCGAGAGGCTGGTCAGTCCCTTCAGTTGAAATAATAATTCTCGTCAGTTCCTTCACATATAATAATAAATAGGGATGTAGGTATTAGCTTTGATGAAGCCGTATTGGTCTGCTAGCCACCCTAAATACCCGGCCACCACGCCGATTTCGACTATAATTTTCAAATATTTGCAGGTTTCGAACCCCCAATTTGGTGCTCCCATATTCACGAGCTTAACCACTCGGTTACCCAGAAACTTGTCTGATAGACGAGCTTGAAGTCGCAGCCTTTATTTATGACATGCTTAGCTTGTAATCGCTACTTATCAGATGATGTTGAATCTGAAACCGTCGGCTGCTTATTGATAAATTCTTAATAGTTTCACTTGGTCAGTGGACTAGGAGTCTCGTGGAGCTCGCTGGACAGTTTCAATGTAAACCATGAATATCTGTTTGTTTGTTCTGGTGTGGTTTATTAGACATGTTCAACTTACGCAGGTTATTCCAATCGCAATCAATGCAGGTCTTTGAAAATGAAAGAATACTACATTTAATTACTTTTTTTCTCGAGAATCGTCCTATGCAAGGAAACGTGTGCATTGAACTTCAATTTCATGAAGGGATTCCCGTGCTAACCTCTCTAATTTTTGTGCAGCCTCGACCCACAAAAGGCGACATGCGCATTTAATTTTAATTTATAGAATAATTTTCCACACTAACACGTATATTTTCGTGCAGCCTCGCCCCACGAAAGGCAACATGCGCATCCACTGTTTGGAGAACGTGGACAAGGCGCTACAGTTCCTGCGGGACCAGCGCGTGCACTTGGAGAACATGGGATCCCACGACATCGTGGACGGCAACGCCTGCCTCACACTTGGTCTCATCTGGACCATTATTTTACGCTTCCAAATTCAGGACATCACCATTGAGGAGAGCGAGAACAAGGAGACCAAGAGTGCGAAAGACGCGCTGCTTCTCTGGTGTCAGATGAAGACTGCTGGCTACCACAATGTCAATATCAGGAACTTTACTACGTCCTGGAGAGATGGTCTTGCTTTCAATGCTATCATTCACAAACACCGGCCTGATCTCATCAATTACGAGAAACTGACTCGTTCAAACGCCATGGGTAACCTCAACAACGCCTTCAATGTGGCAGAGTCTAAGCTAGGCATCACCAAACTTCTCGATGCTGAGGATGTTTTCGTGGAGCTTCCAGATGAAAAGTCCATCATCACGTACGTCGTTACTTTCTATCACTACTTCTCCAAGATGAAGCAGGAGACTGTACAAGGCAAGCGTATCGGCAAGGTTGTTGGTATTGCCATGGAGAATGACCGCATGATCCACGAATACGAAACTCTGACTTCTGAGCTCCTGAAATGGATCGAAATGACCATCGAGTCTTTGAACGACCGCCAGTTCATCAACTCATTAGTTGGTGTTCAACAGCAGTTGGGTCAGTTCAACGCCTACCGAACAATCGAAAAGCCTCCTAAATTTGTTGAGAAGGGCAACTTGGAAATACTTCTCTTCACTCTGCAGTCGCACATGCGTGCCAACAACCAGCGCCCGTACCTCCCTCAAGAAGGCCGTCTCATCAGTGACATCAACAAGGCCTGGGAGTTGCTGGAGAAGGCCGAGCATGGCCGTGAGTTGGCTTTGAGGGAAGAACTTATTCGTCAGGAAAAACTAGAGCAACTTGCCGCCAGGTTTGATCGCAAGGCTGGCATGAGAGAAACCTGGCTCTCTGAAAACCAACGCCTTGTATCACAGGACAACTTCGGTTTTGATTTGGCTGCTGTCGAAGCTGCTGCCAAGAAACACGAGGCTATTGAGACAGACATCTTCGCTTATGAAGAACGCGTCCAAGCTGTTGTTGGTGTTGCCAAGGAACTTGAGGCTGAGAACTACCATGATGTCGCTCGCATCAACGCAAGGCGTGACAACGTTCTGCGTTTGTGGAATTATCTTCTGGAACTGCTGCGACTGCGTCGCATGCGACTGGAACTTTCTCTGCAACTGCAGCAGAACTTCCAAGAGATGCTCTACATCTTGGACAGCATGGAGGAAATGAAGTCTCGCTTGTTGAGCGAAGACTACGGCAAACATCTGATGGGTGTGCAAGACTTGCTTCAGAAACACTCGCTGTTGGAAGCCGACATCAATGTTCTGGGTGAACGTGTGAAGACAGTGATGGAGCACAGCCAGCGCTTCCTGGACATAGGCGACGTTGCTGATGGCGAAGAACCGCCCTATAGAGCTTGTGAACCTCAACTGGTTCTTGAACGAGTGCAGCAGCTCGAGGATGCGTATGCTGAACTCGTCAAGCTCGCTGTTGAACGTCGAGCTCGTTTGGAAGAGTCGCGTCAGCTGTGGCAGTTCTACTGGGACATGGCTGAAGAAGAGAATTACATCAAGGAGAAGGAGAACATTCTTTCGTCGCCCGATATTGGCCACGATCTTAATACGGTCAACATGCTGCAAACCAAGCAGAAGACCATCAATGAAGAACTCAAATCGCACGAGGTGCAGCTGAAGGCTGTTATTGATAGCGGCGAGGCTCTCATAAAATCGGGCCACTTTGGGTCCAGCAATATCCGTGAACGCATTGAAGAAATCCAGACGATGTGGAAACATCTATGTGAGAAATCAGAGGCCAGACAGAACCGTCTTGCTGATGGTGTTGCTCTCCATCTATTCTTGTCAGAAGCCGACGACGTTGATACCTGGATGTTAGACGTACTGCGTCTAGTCAGCAGCGAAGACGTTGGTAGTGATGAATCCACAGTCCAGTCATTGCTGAAGAAACATAAGAACGTCACGGATGAAGTCAAGGACTATGCCATGAACATTGAGGCTCTTCACCAACAGGCTGCTAAGTTGCATGACGATGACCAATCTAGTCCCGTGGTAGTGGACAGGCTCGCTTCCATTGACCGCCGCTACCAAGAACTCCTCGAGCTGGCGAGAGACCGGAAACAGCGTCTGCTCGATGCTCTATCGCTGTATAAACTTGCCACCGAAGCTGCTGGTGTTGAGCAATGGGTGGGCGAGAAGGAGCGCATGTTAGAAACTATGGTTCCTGCACGCGATATCGAGGACTGCGAGGTCATGAAGCACAGATACCAAGGCTTCGACCAGGAAATGAACGCAAATGCCGGCAGAGTGGCGGTCGTAAACCAACTCGCTCGTCAACTGCTTCATGTGGATCATCCGAACAGGGAAGATATCATACAGACTCAGAATCAGCTCAACCAAAAGTGGGCGGCACTGCGCGACAAGGCTGAGAACAAAAGAGAAGAGCTCAACTCGGCTCATGGTGTGCAGACCTTCCACATTGAGTGCCGCGAGACAGTGCTATGGATCGAGGACAAGAAACGCGTCCTGCTTGAGACTGCAGATCTTGGCACTGATCTCAGTGGCATCATGACCCTGCAGAGACGATTGTCTGGCATGGAACGCGACCTTGCCGCTATCCAAGCCAAGCTTGATGCCCTTGAACGTGAAGCTGACAAGATTAGTTCAGAACATCCCGAGGAGGCTGAACTTATTCGCCAACGCATCACTCAGATCAGAGAGGTCTGGGATCAGCTCACTCAGCTCCTCAAGGAGCGCGATGCCAAGCTCGAGGAAGCTGGTGATCTTCACCGCTTCTTGCGTGACTTGGACCACTTCCAGGCATGGCTGACCAAGACCATGACCGACGTAGCCTCTGAGGACATTCCATCAAATCTCGCCGAGGCTGAGAAGCTACTTAACCAGCACCAGAGCATCAAGGAAGAGATTGATAACTACCGAGATGACTACACTAAGATGATGGTTTATGGTGAGCGTATCACTGCTGAAGATGTCACTCCTGCTGACGACGCTCAATACATGTTCTTGCGAGAGCGACTCAAGGCTCTTAAGGATGGATGGGCTGAGCTTCATCAAATGTGGGAGAACCGTCAACTGCTCCTCTCAGACTCCCTCAACTTGCAGATGTTCAATCGTGACGCCAAGCAAGGCGAGGTTGTTCTCAATCAACAGGAACATTACCTCAGCAAAGACGAAACTCCTGCCAATCTTGAACAGGCTGAGAACCTCATCAAACGTCACGAAGCTTTCCTCACGACAATGGAAGCAAACGACGAGAAGCTCAATGCCATTTGTCAGTTTGGAGACAAGCTTGTCAAAGACAACCACTTTGCCGCCGACAAAGTCCAGAAGAAGGCTGAAAATATTGATGAGCGGCGAGCCGCTAATCGCGAGCATGCCATGCAGCTTATGGATCGTCTCCGTGACCAGTTGCAAGTTCATCAATTCCTGCAGGATTGTGAGGAGCTCAACGATTGGGTTCAGGAGAAACACATCATTGCTCAGGATGAAAGTTATCGGTCCGCTAAGACGGTCCACAGCAAGTGGACCCGCCACCAAGCCTTTGAAGCTGAAATTGCTAGCAACAAGGACAGATTATTGAGAGTCCAGCACGCTGGCCTTGAGCTTCTGAAAGAAAAGCCTGAGATGGCTGAGCTTATTGGACCGAAGATCGACGAACTTTCCCAACATTTCGAAGCTCTCGAAACGACTACGAAAGAAAAGGGTGAGAGGCTCTTTGATGCCAATAGAAAGGTTCTCTACGAACAGAGTTGTGATGATATTGACTCCTGGATGTCAGATCTGGAGAAACAAATTGAGAAAGATACAGGTGGTGATCTTACTTCAGTTAATATTTTGATGCAGCGGCAACAGATGATTGAGACACAGATGGCTGTTAAGGCTAAGCAGGTGGAACAACTAGAAGGACAGGCTGAATACCTGCAGCAGATGACACCAGAAAAGGCCGATGAAATTAAACAGATGAAATCCAAAGTTGAACAAAAATTCGAATCACTCAAAGGTCCTCTGTTGGACCGACAGAAAGAACTTGCCAAGAAAAAGGAAGCTTTCCAGTTTGCTCGCGATATCGAGGATGAGAAGCTATGGATTGCCGAAAAGATGCCTTTGGCGACCAGCACCGACTATGGCAACTCGCTCTTCACTGTACACACCCTCAACAAGAAGCTGCAATCTCTCAGCACCGAAGTCGATAACCACGAACCTCGAATCGACCTTGTGTGTTCCAACGGTCAGAAACTCATCGATGAAGGTCATGTTGACTCTGATGAATTCAGAAGATTGCTTGGAGAACTGCAAGAAGCCTGGGCTACACTCAAAGAAGCCATTGACCACCGACGCCAGAAACTTCTCGTGTCCGAGAAGGCTCAACAATATCTGTTTGATGCTGGCGAGGCGGAGGTATGGATGAGCGAACAGGAGCTTTACATGATGGTTGAGGACCGCGGCAAAGATGAGATCAGTGCACAGAATCTCATGAAGAAGCACCAGGGACTCGAAGCTGCTGTTGACGACTACGCCGAGACCATTCGACAGCTTGGAGAAACTGCGCGTCATCTCATCAATGAGGGGCATCCTGAAAGGTACGGAATTGGAATGCTTTTCTTTCTTCGTAGGTTACCTCGTAAATTCTTCTATTTGATAATTAAATACCTATTTTTTGCCTATGTTAGCACTCACTGAAGTAAAATGAAATGCTTTCATTACTCCACGTACTAACATGGTCATGCTTGAGATGAAATTCTTATACATCTTCACATTTTAGCACGGTAATCTTACCCTACCATTATTTTCGCCTGGATGAGAGCTAAGAATTGATCGATATTTTATGTTCCTTCAAGTAAAGATGCTGTTATTAATAGTTTCTAGTCTTGTTAGAATTTCGTATTACTACATGCCGTTTTCTCTGAATTATTCGTTCTCTTATCATTAAAAAGATTATTGGCACAGCACTTGGGCTCATTGCTATACACCATTGCTGTGTATTGCAGTGAATAGAGCACATCATTGGTGTTCAGTAATTTAACTTGTTGCTATGTATTGCAGTGAGCAGAACATAGCACTTATTCTCAGTAATTTACTTGTTGCTATGTATTGCAGTGAACAGACAACAGCATTTATGCTCATTAATTTATCTTGTTGCTATGTATTTCAGTGGCATTTATGCTCATTAATTCAACTTGTTGCTATGTATTGCAGTGAACAGAACACAGCACTTATGCTCATTAATTTACATTTTGCTATGCATTGCAGTGAGCAGATCAGCATCCGGCAGTCACAGATCGACAAACTGTATGCCGGTCTGCGCGACCTGTCCGTTGAGCGGCGCAGTCGTCTGGATGAAGCGCTCAAGCTCTTCATGCTCAACCGCGAGGTGGACGACCTGGAGCAATGGATCGCTGAGAGGGAAGTCGTCGCTGGCTCCCATGAACTTGGTCAAGATTATGATCACGTCATGGTAAGTTAGAGTGCAATGCCTTCACTCGCGTCATGGTAAGTTAGGTTACGATGTGTTTACCAAAGTCGTTATGTTACTATCTGCTCACCCAAGTCGTTATGTTACTAGGTATGTTTTCAGTTCGCCCACGCCGTTATGTTATAATGTGTTTATCCAAGTCCTTAGGTTATAATGTGGGTAGCTTGGTCCTTCAACTCGTTCTGGAGGCAGGTAATGTTGGTAATGAAGTGAGGCATATTATGCATAATGACAATTTCTATCGAATTTAATTAAAATTACTTCACTGCACATCTTCATAAATTCTGTTTTCCCTGGAAAATGCGTTCTCAAAGTTGATTTCTGATGTGAACAACCATGATAAATCTTAACCAGTGCCGTCTTGATGATAGACGCGTTGCCGCGTCATCGCTTCTCCCAGAGAAAGACTATAGTGGATCTAATGAAAGCAAATATTTTAACTACAATATCCTCCATTAATCAACCCGTCATCAATTTAAATCCATACGTATTATAATTGATTAAGATTTATTGTACAATATACCCAGATGATGTTGCGCGAACGTTCGCTCACACCTGCGAGAGACAGTCGTGGAGCGAGTTGCGGTCATTGAAATATATTATTAGGCTTCAAGACCCACAATCGCAAATGTATTTCCCCATCATTAATGTACATCCCCATATTAATCTATTTCTACTCACTTCAGATGCTTCGCGAGCGTTTCCGAGAGTTCGCCCGCGCGACAGAGGCGACGGGCGTGGAGCGCGTGGCTGCCGTCAACGAGATCGCCGACCAGCTCATCAGTGCCGGCCACAGCGACGCTGCCACCATCGCCCACTGGAAGGACGTCCTCAACGAGTCCTGGGCCGACCTCCTCGAACTCATTGACACTCGGTCTGTTCATGTTATTAGGACTTTAGGCCTCGCCTGTTTTGATATATCTCATCTTTTTGGAACTCAGACACTGTCTGTTGATGATATGCGGACTTACTTGTAAACTCTTACATTTTCATCTATCGGATCTCCATGAACTTATTGACTCTCGGTCTGTTCATATTATTGAGCCTTCCTATGAGACTCGTTTGTTGTCATCCGTTAGACATTATAGATACTCAATAAATAATCAATGTTCATAAATCAATGATTAATGCATTTCAATATACATTGTTAACCAATGACATACTGTAACGAATTGAGTTATTTTATTAATTGATTGTAATCACATCCACACCTAAATGCTGTCTGCTCCCTTTGCTCTGCACAGGTTATCTCTTATATTATTTTTTCTTATGCAAAAGTAATATAACGACATTTTTTTAATTGATTTACCCACACAGGACCCAAATGCTGTCTGCTTCCTGGGAACTGCACAAGTTCTTCCACGACTGCAAGGACGTTTTGTCGCGCATCCTCGAGAAGCAGAACAGCATCAGCGACGAGCTGGGACGTGACGCTGGTTCTGTCTCCGCCCTGCAGCGCAAGCATCAGAACTTCGTGCAAGACCTCGTCATGCTTCACACGCAAGTAAGTGCAGTGCAATGAAGGCATGTTTGTACTCGGATGAAGCTTCCAGTGAGAAATGTACCACAACAGACCTCGTTATGCTTTACCCTATTTACTTCACACGCAGATTAGTGCCGCTGAAAGCAGGACTTGTCTACTAAGATAAAGCTTCTATTAAGAATTATTAATTAAACGACCTCGTCATGCTTTACTTTAAACCTCAGGTGCAGCAAATCCAGGAGGACTCCGGCAAACTGCAGGCGGCGTATGCAGGGGACAAAGCGCGCGAGATCACGAGCAGAGAAGCGGAGGTCGTGTCGGCATGGCTCGGCCTGCAGGGAATGTGTGAAGAAAGGCGCGTCAAACTCAACGACACTGGCGACCTCTTCAAGTTCTTCTGCCTCGTGCGCACGCTCATGTTGTGGATGGACGATGTCGTTCGTCAGATGAACACTACCGAGAAGGCCAGGTAATTGATTCTTACAACTTACTATTCGTTCGAATCATACATTGCTTTTGTCTTTTTCTTCCTAGGGACGCTTTCTAATATTGTAGTTGGAAGATGTCATTCGCCAGACCAACACCGACAAATAGGCTAAGTAATTAAAATAGCTAAATGAATGATGATAACTATATAAGTTGCGCATCCTCATGCTTCGATTTCCTATTACTGAGTTAACTCGAGGTCAAAATGCCAAACGCTATTGGCATTAGTCAATACGTACACAAAGCTTCTGCAAGCCCTACGAATCCTCGATGTCATCTTTAGGAGTAATAGTTTTTTTAGATTTATGTTTGATGTTCTACCAGGGACGTGAGCGGCGTGGAGTTGCTGATGAACAACCACCAGTCGTTGAAGGCTGAAATTGACGCCCGCGAGGACAACTTCTCGGCGTGTGTACTGCTGGGCAAAGAACTGCTCTCTCGCAACCATTATGCATCGCCCGCCATCAAAGAGAAGCTAATGTCCCTCAGCAACGGCCGCAACAATATGCTGCAGCGCTGGGAGCAGCGATGGGAGCATCTGCAACTCAGTCAGTTGCTCACCTTCACATACAGAGCGTTGTTTTTATCAATATTTTTCATTATTTAATCAGCCCAAACAGATATTGGTATACTGATGCTGTCATGAACATATGCAGTGAAATTTTTAAGGTTTTATAGAGATTTGCGCATTTATATTTCTTTATTTTAGTGTTATTTCTCGTAGCCATTTTGTGTGTTTTCTGGAGTCCTGTGCTAATTTCTCCACTGTCTCTTCTTTATTGAAATGAAGCTACTTCCAGCGTAATTTTTTCTTTGAAATGCTAAACGTGTCGATTCATATTTCCTACAGCTCATTCATATTTCCAAGTATCATTCTTTGGATCTTTTCTTCACCCTCAGGATCAAACCCATGTTTCATGTTGGGAAGTCCAAATAATGTTGTTTTTGAGCAGTTCTGGAGGTGTACCAGTTTGCGCGAGATGCTTCAGTTGCCGAGCAATGGCTCCTTGCTCAGGAACCTTATCTCAACTCTGCCGACTTGGGGGTAAGTTATACTTAATATTATATTTTTTTAACACTTTTCTAAGGCTTGTAATGATAGGAATTTTTGCATTAATCATTAATGAAAGTGAATGTTAGCAAAACGCCTCCCTTTGACGATAGCTGGTCATGAGGTATATTTCTGTATCATGGATTTGCATTGCTTTTGTGTTTGCACAAGTTTTAGAAATTGATTAAAATAAATTAATTATGTTTTAATCCCAATCATTTTCTTTAAATAATCGTAAATTTAAGCGCTAATGCTAGAAATTTGATGAAGAATTTATCAATCTATAAAATTTTTTAGTTCATCCAGTATACAATTAAGTGGTTCATCTTTTCATGAAAAATTCAGCAATTAGAATCAGTTTTCCAGAATTGTGCATTTGCTTGCCTGTATGATCTTTCTAGAGCAGTGTGCCATGTTTCCATGTATTTATCTCAAAATAAATAATATACTTTTAAAAATTACTTTTTAAAGACAACACTTCTAAAGAATCCAGTGTTTCCAATGTTACAGATGTACAATGAATTTCTAATTTTATTTTCGAATATTAAAAAAAATAATTTTTCAATTTTTTTAATATATAAATTTTTTTTCAAAATTATTTATTCTGTCAATTGATTCATGCATTGCCTCCAACTTCACACAAGTGTGCAAAATTTCATATCAATTGGACAGGTAAAAGTTTGTCAAATAGGTATCAATTATAAGATTTGTAGCTGACAAAATTATTTTTTCAGTTATTTTTATATTGAAGAAAAAAATTTTTTTTATTCCTAAAATTATTCATGCATTGTCTCCAACTTTACGCAAGTGTGCAAAATCTCAGATCGATAGGATAAGTAGAAGTGTGTTAAATTTCGATTACAAGATTTGTAGCAGACAGACAGACAAACAGACAAACAAGAAGTGAAGTTAAAGAAAAGTGTTGTAATGAACGCGCATTTGCTTGTCTGTACGGCATCTATAAATGAACGGATCTAAGTTTCTTTGTGTTATTTCCTAAATAAACGTGCATTGCTTCCCTGATACTTCTCACAATAGAATTGTATCTGTTCTCCCAGTATCATATCTCTAAATATTTTCCCTGAATATAGTTATTAAAAGTAAGAAATAAATTATTTAGTTCCTTTACAATTCCTTAATAAAATTGTATTTGTTCCAGGCTTCCATAGACCAAGTGGAAAACCTGATCAAGCGGCACGAAGCTTTTGACAAGGCCTGCTGCTCACAGGAGGAGCGTTTTGCTGCCCTCGAACGCCTCACTACCGTCAGTATTTACTTCATAGTATAATATAATTCTGAGATATTATGTAATATTTCATAGATATTATTTCTTGTAGAATATGCGAGATGTGCTGTAAATATCCGTGAGTTCAACTAGTATTTCTAGTTCACAGATGTAATTGGAATAAATAACAGAATGTGTGGGACGTGGTGTGAATCACAGTGAGTTCAACTAGTATTTCTAGTTCACAGTTCTTATTTACTGCAGAATGTGTGGTATGAATTAGCGTCTTAACAGTTACATATATTAGTTCATTGATCGTATATTTCACACAAATTCTTCGATTGTTGGCGATGTGGTGTAGATTAAGAATATAGAACGAAACTGTGTGTTGCATTTGCAAGCTTTACGGATGTTTGGGGACATAATTGATGTCTAAACTTGATGTTGTGAGACTTTACTTATCGAACTGATGCCTGAACCTAAATCTCACTTGCAATCAAATTTGATTTGTTCAATTACTATTTCTCTCATTTGTGATAACTTTCTTTTAACTTTAAAGCCTGAATACTTGACTAATCCTCGAAACCTCGTATCATATGTACATTGACGTGGCGATAAAGCTTGATAGTTAGTGCATGGATATTAAATTATTTGGTTGTTATGTTGTTTATACATTTTTTCTATTTATTGGCCTAATCCTCTATATTCACTATCTTTCTTTTATTTCTTCATCTAAATAATTTTTTTGATCCGGGACTGTTACACAAAGTTCTGTGAATTCTATTTTGTTTGGCATGGGGTCTTCCTTATTATTTTTTTTATTAATCTTTGCCACATCCTTCCTTGTCTGAGCAAGTGTAGTCCGGGTGTCTTGGAATGGAATGTTTGGTGACTAATTTATTTCTTGTTTGTGTAACAAATTTTAATTTATTTCACGTTTGTGTAGTAACCAATTTTCTACTGCATGGCTGTAGTTCGAGTTACGAGATCCTACAAGGAGGATGTCTTTGTACTCGAATGATTCTTACAACCAAGGACCGGATCTCATATCGAGCGAATCCATTGAGAACCTCCTTCAGTTGGACTTGCCTGACGCTGACGGTACCAAAACTACCGCTCCCCGTGAAGCTGTTGCCCTGCATGTCATCGAAGAAACACCAGTGGCGCCTGAAGATTGCGTTGTACACGAGCATAGTCGGTATAGGGGAGACGGAAGGATTATAATTGAAGGAAGTCGGATGGAGTTGAACGAGAATACAGCTAACCCGTCGGTAGAGACCAACCAGACTAAAGAAAAAACACCTCAGCCGATAGGTGATTCATGGACCGTTACGCGAGACAGGCAGGATGTGCCTAAACACCCTCATATATTTAAAAAAATTCCTTCTTTTGCATTGGAAACTGCATCATCCGCTGAGAGTTCCCCATCTTCAAGTCCTCGTCTAGACGATTATTCAGTTGATGAACATCGGCTGACTGCCGATTGCCGCTCGTCAAAATCCAATACTGTGTCCAATCATTTGTACAAGAAACATTCCGCTGTCGAGGAGAATCGTTGCAGACACACCAGTTATCTCACTGCTGCCTTGTCTTGCCCAATAATTTCGAAATCTCAATTGACGTCAATATGGCGGGGACGTCGTAACTCTTTATGTAAGTTTTATCCGTATGACTGCGGAGAGTTTTTACCAGCCAATTCGTCTTGCTTGTCTCGTGTGAATGGGGTAAAAAGTGGTAGACTTGTATCTGCGTCTGATCCTTCCTTGGACTCAGCTCCTGATGGCTTCTCTGAGCACGATTTGGCAACTCGAGAACTCTTCGGCACTTTAAGTATGAAGCCCGACAAAAAATCCCGACTGAAGTGGCAATTACCACGGAACCTCTCACGTTTTCATCGCATATGTCTTCAGAACTTGTCAACTTCTTCATTAAACAATGCAGACGATGTAGATCATTTTTTGGCTCCACTACGTTCTCGCAGTTATCCCTCTATGATCTCGAATGCTCTGCCTCTTTCAACATCTGATGTGAATTTCGATTCAGTTGGAGTTCTTCTCAGTTCATCAGGTCGCTCCTCTCTGTCTTCTAGAAGTGGACAGGCTGAATGCCAGTTCTTTAACACGAGCTCGTTAATGCCGACCGATGCCAAAAACAGTCACCGTTTTTACGATGAGTTGCGTAAAGAACAGGTTGATTTTAAGAAACTTTTCGACGACTTCCACTTTCGACCAATTGTAGGCGGTATTGATCTAACGTTTAGGAACTCGGGCGAAGTTTCCCAATTAATTGTACCTGATATTGTCAGGGAGGGAACCGTTGGTGCAGCACCGAACTCGTCTCCTTGTAATGCCGTCAACGGGCACCACAATCTTGATTTTCGATCACCTTTTGCTGAAGAGCTTCACTATAGACTCATGGACCTGCAGGCCGACAATGAAAGTCATGCTGTGCATCTTGGCGATCTTGATCAACTCCGGGAAGAAGACTTTCTGAGGAAGAAGAAACCCAAATTTTCATATCCTGATGAAGAAGACGAGGAATTTCATCGAAGTATACTTGATCATTCCAACAGCCTCAATATTTTTGAGACTCGAGCCCGAATTCGTAGTTTAAGGAGTTCGTTCTATGGGGACGAGAGCCTCACGCTTCCTCCAATTTACGAGGTCGAAGGAGAGAAGTGCGGCGTGCAACACATAGCAAGTCCTCCTAAATCTGTTGAATTCTGGAGCGTTGAGACGCTGGACAAAGTGGACAGTTCGAGTTTGGAGCGTCGCAAAGCTATCCTTGGTGAAAAAGATTCAAACACACGCCCTCGCCATGATTATAAAGGCAACATCACCTCCATTTCAGAGTACGATAGTGAGAACGACGTGGCTTGTCTTTCTGCTGATGAAGAATGCGATTTTTCATCAGGGAAACCAAAATCACGGCCGCATAGTTTTTCCACCCTGGACCCCAACCCCAACTGCCGCGGTGTATATGTGTCTGATTCTATAATGTGTTACTACCCAATTATTGGAGCCATCGATATTCCTTACGTCGGCAATGGAAATTCTGTGCAAGCTTCGACAGATGATCTCGCATGCGTCAAGAAATCCTCTTCAAATACTGAAAATAAATTTCCGACGAGTTCAACTGCTCAGAGTTCAAATAAATCCTGCATTCCATCCCTGAGCTCTCATCCATCCCGGGCTACGGAATCATCTAAGCCCATACACTCAACAATTCCCGCAAATTCCTATATAAAAAATCCGGTCTTGGATCTCACCCTTAACAACCCGCATGCCCTGAACCCTACTCACTCCCATGCTACTTTACCTGATGTCGTGGATTCCGAGGTGAATATGTCAATGCCGTGTTACCTGACGCGTTACATCAATCGATGCGTTGTATAACCTCAATTTAACGCAATAACCTCCACGCGACTAACCTAACCTACGTTTCATTTGCGCGTTTTTCCAGCTGACTATAGTTTCCATATTGGATAAAGAGATTAGCCTTTTGACTACAGATACTTCACATGACTAATATACCTATTAACGCTTCGCTTGGACCAACGTCAACGCTCCACTCTCTGTTTTCGTAAGCCCTTGCTAATTTTACGTTTCGTCCTGAACACTCGGGCCGTGTTTGTGTATTCTTGAGTGCTGCTTCGTGTTCATCTGTATTTATTATTATTTTTAAGGCTAATTTTGAATTTTACAATAACCTAACCGTGTTAGACAAACTAACATGTTACGTATTAATTTTTTTGCCCAAGTTTTTTTTTTTTGTTTTGAAAAGCTTCTGACTTGCGTGCCATTGTTGCATTTTGAATTTTTTATCCCCTTTTATTTATTTTATCGACCTGAATTTTTTTTTTAATGAGATCCGATTTCTTTTATTGTGTGAAAGTCTCACAAAAATAAAATAATAATTTACAAAGGTTTAAAGTTTCATAATAAAGCATGTATATCTAAAAGTCTTAATTATTGCAGTTCGAGCTCAAGGAACTGAAGAGGCGGCAAGAGGAGGCTGAGGCCGAGCGCCTAAGACGAGAGGAAGAGGCGCGGCAGGCGGAGGCGCAACTGCAGCAGCAGCAGCAACAGATGCGCCAGAGTCCTATGGACACCACCGATCGGTAATATGACATTTTTGTCTCGTATCTTTTAGTACAAACGTGCTCTTGTATGTTATAATGAGATGAGTTTTGGACACCTTTGCGCACGGTCACGTTGATGCCAGAGGCCCATGGACACCAAAGACCCGTAATATGTTGTCACTTTTCTTCTAAATATGACTACCCTCGTATATTATAACGAGTTTAGAACAGCTCCGTGCAAGAACAAACATGCACGTTGCTAATGCCCTTATGATGATATAAGGAGTTCTGTGCGCCTACCAATTGGGCTCTCTAAGAGCATCGAGGTTGTGAAATATTTCATGGGGTGCTTATTTCGCCATGTCACGTCATGTAAACAACAAAGTCTTGTATTATATAAGCCAAGATAGACTTGTGTGGCTAATATTCGATTATTTCAGAGGGGAAGGTGGCGACGACTCATTCGCGAGTGGAGACAAACATTCGGATACTCAAGAAGGTGAGTGCACTAAATTCTTTGTCTGCTAACGCATTCCTCATTCTGTATCTCATTACCGTCTTAATGAGGAGACAGACACGTAACATTTCCTTTTTTATAACTCATTAAGTAAACGTTGTCGAAGGTAATCTTGAAAGTAGAACTCCGGGCACTATTATTACGTTCTTCATTGTACACGAGAATAAATTGTTTAAAGAGATAAGTTCTTAACCAACACAACTAACGTGGTCGTACTAGAAATGGATTCGTATTTAATTTAAACGTAAATCTCTGAATAATTCTGGGCAAGTAATACTTTTCGTATCTTAATGACTGATCTTGGGAGTTTCTTAATGTGCATGTGACATTGCAAAGAAAGTATGAGAATAGTCGCGTTTCTGAGCGCCCAGGCTAAATTGAAATCTCAGTTTTCGTTGCCACACTTGAATTTTCGGTTTCTCCTGGCGAAGATTCTGCTTTCGCCATCGCCTGTTTTTGGAGTTGAGATGACAGGATGTGCTTCCTCTTCACTTTAAGTCCGAAAATCTTTGAAGTTATTTGGCTGACTCTTGCTGCATCTCGTCACTGAAAGGCTCATGGTGACAGTAACCTATATTAATTAAGAGATGTCAGTCGGTTAAGGCAGCTTATCTGGTTGCTTAGCTCTGATCTTCCGTTGTTGTAAAAAGGGAGGAACGTCTTGTGGTTGTTAATGGTTTATTCTCATGAACTTTTTCTTGTGAAAAAATTACGGTTTATGCTCTTGGTCTTGTTCTTCTTGATCTGATTTATTGGATTATCCATGCATTTCTAATTCGGTAGGTTTTAGTCGCTGTCCAATATTCACAAGCGTATGCAACAATCGTAAGCATAGTTTTCGATCAATGGAGTCATTTCTCTGGAAGTTCAGTCAACGTGTGCAATATCTACGGTGTTTTCGGTAAGAAATCTCCGAGTTCTTGATTTTTTCCTACCTTTGCTTGAGATTTTGCTGAACTTGAATCCTAAATCACCGTAATTTTTCTGCGTTGGCATATGTTTGTCCGCTGTTCTGTTGAATAATTTGTTTTGTTCTCTTTTGTTTCGTCGATGACAAGTTTATTTTTGTGTTCGTGCTGCTGCTGTTCTTTAGATACTACATACGGTTTCTAAATGCCTGATCTTGATGTAAGTTCATTTATATTTTTAGATGTTGTGTCTTTTGTTATTAATGATTAACAAATTATTTTGTGGTTGTTAATGTGTCGTTTTGTATTTGATTACTATTTTTTGTTATCTAACTGTTGAGTCAATGTCGTAATCTATTACTGGGGGTGCGGTATGAACAGAGTTCATTTTTTCCTATTTTTTGCCTCAAATTTCTCGCCCCTAAATGTAATCAAGTCTCACATTTTCGTGAATAAATGAAAAGTTCATACAAGCATTTCCTAGACTGGGTAGTGACTTGTGCATGTATCAGGCTGTGTAGTAATTGAATGACTTGTTACTATGTGGTAACGTAATTATTTACTTGTTACTGCGTGGTAACGTAATTATTGGTTACTTGTTACCATGTAGTATACGGAATTTACTATGATGCCTACGCACTGTGTCTGCATCCCGAACCTTTGCACCGAACACTAAGATCAGCGGTTCCAAAACTGTGATAAGTTGCCTCCTTAACAGGGTAATTTATCCACTGTTTAAAATAATAGAAGGGAAAATGTTAACTTATCAACATATACTGATTAAAATCAAATATCAACGTCGAAATTTTTGTAAGTGGATCACGCTTGTTGTTTGTTTTTGTCACGAAAATGATAAAGTTTGGGGACCGCTGAGGTAGATGTTAGCTCCAACCAGGCCGTATGTGAGGCATGCTAGTTTGCATGATACTATGTATGTCGTACTGTTATATTGTAGAGCATGGTTCTGCACCACCATCTTCTGCGCCGTCCACCACCACCACGCCTACCAAACCTCCTGGTGGTGGTGGTGGTAAAAATGATGTATCGTCATCACCTTCAGCGTCACCTGCACCACGTCTCGTCGGTGAGTTCTTCTGCCGTGACCACAGCAGCACATGTGTACACAACTATAAATGCATTTTGTGTACAAAGTTACTAGATATTACAATGTAATTTTGTTTATTAATGGCTTCGTTTTCAAAAGCAAAATTTATATCCGGTCGGCAATCGATTACAAATGAAATGACAAATGTGAATAAGCCCGAGATGAGTGCTTGCCGCTAGGCTTGTACGATTAGCATTATGGTTCTAATGCATAAAGAACTTGGATCTCTTCATAACAAGAACCTTCACAAAACATGGACCAAGGTATTGGTTTTTCTTGCTCCGATAGACATACCTGATTTTAAAGAAACTCGAAGCTTTGTATCTATCATTCTCGGCATGGTCGGCACTCTGAGAAACTGTTGCTTAGGTAACATTTTGCTTGTAGCTGCAATGCAAGTCGCTTGCCTGTCAGCTCTGCATGCTTGCATGACAACTTTAAGTGCCAGATTTTCGGAGCCATTACGAAGGTGAGTGATTATTACATCATTAACAAGCATGTGTTCTACAGAGTTGCTGCACTTTAATCTCTTGTTAGTTATTTGCATTTGAATTCGTAATTTTGCCTGCTTAGAGAGCGTTTACCTGTCTATTCGCATAGCGCAGCCTCATCGCCAAGACTCTCACCAGAAGATCTATTCCAAGCTACCGTCCTTCCCGTACTTTGCGCTTCAAGCCGTTATACTAACCTCAATCCTCATTTATTTTTTTTTTAATTTTTTGTTCGCTTTATTTTATTTTATGGGTTGAATACTTGGAATAAATTCCATTATTGTTTGTTAAAAATAACCCATGGCTAACAATTTCAGCGGCTAGTGCCTCATCAGCTCCCAATACTAAACTTATTATTTTCGTTCACAATATCCTGCTGTCTAACTCGCCGTGCAGTTTCATCTCGATGCCACGACGATTTGTGCCACGGATAGGGTCCTAGGATAATGATCCTAGGACCCTAACCTAGGATATCATTACTGTACATGATTAGGTAATCGGGATATTTTTTCTCGTCTATCTGTGGTGATTAACCGTATTTAGCTGATTTATTTATTGATGTCTGATTTTGCGTCATTTAATTATTGTTCATAGTTCAATGATTAATTTGTTTCGTGTCATCGTCTGATTATTTCGTAGCGGGTTCTCTTCAACTATGATTTATTCTAAACAATGAATAGTGACACATTTATGTGAATTATGTTGGTATATTAATTTCAATGTTCTATGTCGTTTTTTATGTTATACCTTTCAACTTGCCTCCTGCTCTCTCTTGCTTCCTATGAGCTTATCTCTCCCTCATTTTTATTGTAATTTTCAATTCCAATAAAATATTTATTTACTAGAGTTTCTTCTCCTGCTTCATCTGCTGTATTTATTCTGCCTTGAATTACTTCACTCATCACTCTATCCTATTTCACGCTAACGCGATTCTAACTCCAGGCTGAACATCGAATACAAGTCACCGAGTTTGGTTTCCAAAAAGCTTGTGTTAAGTACTGATCAAATACGACACTGCCAAACTGGGTTACAATGGTTAAAAAATCGTCTAAAATTTATTACATTTTTTGGAGGTAAAAACAATAAAAATGGTTTTTCAATGGTTTGAAAACACTTAAATTTTTCGTTTTTAATTTTAAGCTCTTTAAAACGGGTTATTCTGTGGTTATATACATGACTTAATTTACTTTTTTATAAGGGCTCTTTAAAACTCGGCTTCACAGGATGTCATGACGAAAAGCATTATTATGAATGTTTCAGTTTAAATAAAACTAAGAGGTGGACTTGAACACGAGAAAGCCTGTACTACCGCTCCTTTATTATTTCGCTCTTTCACTCGACTGTTGTCTTCTCCTTGCCTTTTTTTTACTATACCCACCGGAAATCTGACATTGAAATTACGTTAATTAAATGTTCAATCGACGAAATCGCTTAGACGATCGAGTCGCTGATCGACGAAATCGCTCAAATCGACTCGAAATCAGAGTTTTACAAGCGTCATTTTTCTGGGAGGTATAACCACTTATTCCCTCACTCGACTGCTATCCTCTATCCTTGGCTTTGGTTGCTATAACCAGCCCCCTGGTAGCTATAACCAGCCCCTGGTAGCATTAACCAAGTCATGTTGCCACTCCAGCATCACCTGGTAAGAGCAGTACCACCCCAAGGGGTGCTAAGGTCCAACGCTCGCGCTCCAAGTCCCCCTTCCGCTCCTTCCGCTGGAAGAAAGGAGCTAAGGCCACGACCTCACCCAGTGTTGCGTCCCTCCACAGCAACGCGTCCGAGGATGACGACAGGCTTACAGGTATACTTTATTATTAATAATAATAATATCCTGCACTCAGAGAAATGGGCGCGTTTTTTGTCCAATTAGCGATGCAGCTTTGTTGCCTTTCTTAGGGTCGTACTGACCCTGTTAGGTCTGGCATAAGCTCGTATTGATGCTTTATGCGCAAAGTGTGTCACTTTTTAGACAATATTACCAATGCATTTTTCTGAGTGAAGGAGGCGTTGACGGCCCCGTCCACGGTCGCGCTCCTGCGGCGCCTTTAATTTATCCTCCCAAGCCGGGCATCGAACCTGGGGACTCCTGATGCCGTGCTGTCAATACTCGCTTAGGTACACTTGGCTTCATAAGTGCACGTAGCGACCGATTTCTCGTATGTCATTGGTGGGTTCAGCTTGAAAGTCCGGCAGTGGACTTTCAAGGAGTTAGGCTATAGGAATTAGGAACTCGCAGCTCCTGTATTTATGATAGTACCGTGACTACCGTCCCTGTTAGACAGCCAGGTGGTATCCTACCTATTATACCAGACGGTATGGTCGTCTGGATGGTATTTATCGGTGTTGGTTGATGGGAGTCGCTGATTCGATTCCTCAGGCTGCTGGTTACTGTATGTTTTGAGTTGTTTTCATTGATAGCTTATACACACAGGATAATTCGAAGGTCATTGTGTTTGTTTCCCATCGTTACAAACAATTATCCTAGTAAGCTGTCGTTTTGGAAGGCTCTGATAATTAACCAATTTAATTTCGCAAGTCACCATCGAACTATTGATGACTGACCAGCAATAGACCAGCATACTTTGAAGGTTGTGAGTTCCATTGTAGATTTGTGCACTGCTACTTCGTACCGGCTTTACGTTGCTGCCAATGAAATGTGCATGATTGGATTGTTGACCTGAACTGCAAGACTTGCTTCTCTCGATGCCGTATTAATATCAATCTTCTTGGATGTTTGCCGGCAGTTGTGATTATAATGTTACCTTTTGTAGTTGATGATTTGTTCATAGATGTCTTAAACTGCTATAATGATGCCATCTTCAATCTTGGTCTGTTAGATCAGCATTCCATCAATTCTTCAGCAAGCAGGTAAGGTGAATTAGGCGATCGACTAATTTGAAAATCTTGCAACTCCTCATTTTTTTGATGCCGACAGAAATCAAATCAAAAAAGGCTGACCCAAGCCTGCTATAATACGGCCTCAATTGAGACGTAATAGGAACTAATAAAAACTGACACAAGCCCAATAAAATAGGACCTCAAATCCTCAATTGAGACGTACTTGGAACTAATGAAAACTGACACAAGCCTGTTAAAATAGTACCTCAATTGAGAGGTAGCAACATCACTGAAAACTCAGGGGCTGGCAAAAAGCCTGGTGGTATAGGGAAGAGTCTATCGAGACGTAATAGCAAGCAATGAAGGCTGGCACGAAGCCAGCTCTAGTAGTTAGATAGGAGCAGCTACGGCTTGTCTTAACTGGCTACCTTCTCTGCCCCGCTGCCGCCTGCCGGAAACCTGTCGACGTATCACGTGATGTTCTTAATTAATTTATATATGTATTATAATTGTTTATTGCCTGCTTGTACATGTTTCGCGCTGTGTCTGTCCTTTTTACCTGTCATTCTTCTGTCTTGCTTTATTCCTACATTCGTTGCAATGGACGAATTTGTCCTCCATCCTTTTTCAAGTACTATTTTCACTCCTATTTACATATTTTGTTGAAATTATTATCCCATTGGTCGATTTCACTTGACTGTTAATCGCGCGAACGACGTAAACAATTGAATTCATGACTGTATCTTGTTTGTGTTTCGATGAACAAATGGTGTCAAGCGCTCCCTTGAAATTTCGGTTGCAAATATTATGCTGAATTATGACTCCCTTGTCGTAATGTTGCGAGAACATTACGTTTCCCTCACAATAATGTTGCAACAACATCATGATTCCCTCATAATAATGTTGCAACAACATCACGATTCCCTCATAACAATGTTGCAACAACATCACGATTCCCTCATAACAATGTTGCAACAACATCACGACTCCCTCATAACAATGTTGCGACAACATCACGACTCCCTCATAACAACGTTGCGACAACATCACGACTCCCTCATAACAACGTTGCGACAACATCACGACTCCCTCATAACAACGTTGCGGTAACATCACGACTCCCTCATAACAACGTTGCGGTAACATCACGACTCCCTCATAACAACGTTGCGGTAACATCACGACTCCCTCATAACAACGTTGCGGTAACATCACGACTCCCTCATAACAACGTTGCAACAACATCACGACTCCCTCATAACAACGTTGCAACAACATCACGACTCCCTCATAACAATATTACAACAACAGCTCCCAAGTCTGCGCCGTCTTCTATCCCGCTTAGTAGCACTGCTACCTCAGGCTCCCCCGCTCCCCCGCCCTCCAAATCAGGTCTATTGCTACCTATATCACTCAGAAAAATGAGTGAGAATTTGTCCTAAGAGCCATGCACTTTGGCCCTTGTGTGGGGCATCCTGATCCGTTTTGGCTGGCTAAAAAGGCGAATCAGTGCAACGTTTAGAAAGTGTATCATTATTAGAACTACATGATTTAATTACTTTTTGTGTATAGTCACAGTACTCGGTTTTCTTTATTATTCAATAAAAAATATTACCCCAGTGATACAGTAGTTTAAACGTCCCGTAACCCCCAAAAGTATTTTAATTTGCGTAATGCTCTTTTGAACGTCCGACTCCGTCAATCTTGCCTTTTTAGCGAGCCCAATTACCCTGCACCATTAATGATCTTATTGAAAACCTTATGCTGCCTGTAGCTTATTACAAGTGGCTTGGGGTATATTTTTTTTTAGTTAGCATAATCAGAATTCACTACAATTTTCATATCTATTATCTGCTATAGTTATCAATGACAGCGCTGTTCATATTTACCTTTTTTTAAATGGCGAATTTAGTTTCCTTCATGGACTACTTTGTTTCTATTTATACTTACCGGCTTGATGTCCCATGTGCTACAGTGCAAAGTCATGATCAAATTGTCTTTAAAAATGTGGTGTAGCCTCACGCACGTTTTCTGTCAACATTCCCGATAATTACGATTCCCTTAAACATGAATTAACTTGAAAGTTTCAAGTGTCATTAATAATTTTATCCGGTAGATTGTCATTTCCTCCCTCGACTGTTCCAAGAGTACCTCCCGATTAACAATCCCTACAAGCCCTATTCATTTTTCCAATATTATATAAGATAACAACCTAGTCCGAACGTAAAGTTAGTGTATGTCTAGTTATAGTCTCGGAAGTCGTTATCTATATTGAAAAGCGACGTCCTAGTAACCTGCTCTACTTTATGGCTAAGAGTTTATTGCATTCTAGCTTTGATTTTACACCTCCTATCTCACTGTCCTCTATTCAATTCTCTACAAAAGTATTTCCTTTTAAATACTCTCTTATGAAATCAAATATAATTATTCTCATTTCGCAGAAAATTCTTAGAATTATTTTGCTTTATCGATAATCATGAATTATTCCCTGTGACACTTCAACTCATACTTTTCTTGCTTGCTTTATATCCAGGGCGAAATCTCGGTCCTGTTCAAGTTTTCAGGTCTCGTCTGTGTCTGATCGCATGTAAAGTGTATTTATTAGTCTCAAATATCAAATCGTTATCAGCTATAGATAATGCTGCGAAGAAATAAGTCGCTAAATGCAAGGATAGCGACTACCAGAATGCGATTGAAGCATTCGAACAAATTATGTATCGGTTTTAAGCCTTGCCAGAAAGGGGCTAATGAACCTGAAAAAGTACATTTGCAACTACATGCTTGGTCTAATAAACATGCATATGATCGTATATAATTTGGTTTGTTTGTGTTTATATCTTACATAACCAAAATAAGAGTATAGTTACGTTATTCGAAACCAAACTAAGAGTATATATACTTTGTCTTTCGTAACCAAAATGTGAGTCCACTAATGTCATTACAAACCAAACTGAGATGAGATGTCGCAGGTACATATCACGTTCCGCCTCTCTTTCTTTGGGTGCTGGCTTGGTAATAATGCTTCTAATCATTATAAGCGGGATATTTGAGTTCCAGGAGAATATTGAAGTTCTTTTCACGACTAATGCTTACACCTTGAAGTTTATTTTTTTTTTTTTGCTAACGCTCCTTAGGGCTTAAGAAAAAGTTTCTTCAACCCCAAAAACGGAAATATGAAATAACGTTTGTCTAACGTCGCCATCTCTTCAAGAATGGCAATTTTCATGTTCATACCATAACTATGTTCATCTTCATGTTATGACTATATAATAAGTATTTTTATCATCATATCACTTTATATTACGATATATAATGTGTGCTCTAAAGTGATCGTTGCCTGTCCCTCAGAGCGGATGAGTCCGGGCGAAGAAGATATCCTGGAAGGTTCGCTGGTCCGCAAGCACGAGTGGGAAGCTACCACCAAGAAGGCGTCTAACAGGTATACCTCATCTGTTCAGCTATGGCATATGCTCCTCTCCTATTACTAATACTTGGAATCAAAAGCAATAACTCTTTTACCAACACTCTGAATCAAAAGGAATGCCATATTTTATTTTCTTCATTTTATGAACACTTAAATCAATAAGAATGGAATTATTTTATTTTCCTAACTTACACGAACACAGCAATAGAAATACAATTTTTCAAGTTTTGTATAATTTGTGAACACTTTGAATCAAACGAATTCTCTAACTGCGACTACATTTTTTTGCGAATTGTGACGAAAGAATTTAAAGGTGTAGCAACAGTTCATAATATTTCATTACCGGCGATTATATAAGTAACTTCATTTATAGACACTGCTTTATTTTTGCAGGAATTTAACCTGAACTAAAGAAATTAGTCCTTAGTGTATTATCAGAAATTGTGCCGCTCACGATGACCACAATTGTTATTTTTCTGACAGTAGTCTTATCCTAATTTCTAACTTCAACCTGTCTGCATTAACAAAGTTCTCAGTAGAACGAGTATGGCTCGTAGTAGCTGATGTTGAAATTGGAGTCAACACTACGACGATTGCACTGAACTTAGGTCCCCAATAATGTTCTATTATGTCCAGCTCTGAGCCACCAACACTAATGTAATCACCCTGCCCAGGTCATGGGATAAGGTGTTCGTTGTGGTGCGAGGCTCGACGCTGTCGTTCTACAAGGACAGCAAGACCTACAAGGCAACCCCCGACCAATACTTCAGAGGCGAGGCGCCCATTGACCTCCTCAACGCCCAGGCGTCCGTGGCTGATGACTACACCAAGAAGAAGAACGTCTTCCGCCTCAAGTAGGACCTCCTTGCTGATTTTCTTTGTGTAGTTTTCACGTTCAGTGGTTTCTTGTGGAAGATCTGTCGGAATTAACTTTTCATTTTGATAAATTTCTTTGAATGTTTCCACTTCTTGGAAGTCTTATCAAAAAAATGGCTCGCAGCTTCTGCTCTAATGGTGGTAACTCTCGTTACCACACCTTTAAGTACGATCTATATTAACGATGATTAATTTAAGTGTTGATGAATGGTTGACTTTTTGCTTACACTGACAGTACACAGTAGCACTCTTTACCTTTGAGCCTTACCATCAAAACTTGATCAAGTATACGTGGCGGCCGAGTTCTCGTCAGTGATTGGCGGTTTATAGCATTAACGACGGTATGATCTGCTTTACAGGCTGGCGAACGGAGGCGAGTATTTGTTCCAAGCTCGCGACGAGGAAGAACTGCACGGCTGGGCGGACGGCATGCAGGCCGCTGCTGCTGGTGGTGATGGCGGCGCTGCTGGCCGGTCATCCCAGACTCTGCCCGCCGGTGCTGAGAAGAAAGACGAGCCTAAGAAGCGAGGCTTCTTTACTCTCAAGAAGAAATAAGAAGGAATGCCGGTGCTACTGTCCAGAGCTGTGAAGCCGTAACGAGACGACTCTGTGTAATCGCATAAGAGTCGCAACCTTCGCTCCTCGCTGCTTTGGATGTAAAGATCTACTGCCCCTTGAGCTGACAGAAATATAAGCTCGTTAGAACTGCTATTACACTACCGTATGTATCATTCTCTTATGTCGGCCTTGTGAGCATTCTCATAGATATCATTCTTCAATGTTTCCATTATAATGGAAGTCGTTCATTTTCAACTAACTTCGGTAAATATCAAAGCCAGTGAACTATATGGCTCATATATATTATTGTTACCAGGAGCCAAAAGGTCGTTAGTTTCTCTCCGGGTCTAGAGCAGTTCACTGCGCCCAGCAGTAAATAGCGTTTTCGACGGGCTGAAGGAAGCAGGCATTGTGAATGTATTGAAAGGAATACTGTATTCTTTTGTATTCATTGCGATTTACGCAGTCACCTTTTATCCTCCCTTTCTCTGTCCGGTTGTATTCTTCCCTGTCGATTATTTTAGTGGTGTTTTAGATCACTATTTTCTAGTTTGTTTTTTACTGGGATAGTATTGGCTGTATGAATGTTGAGTGTTTTTTTTGTTTTTAGTGTCCGAACGATTCACCGTTTTATGCCTTCAGATTTTCCTGAAATTCAAATTGGGAATAAATTTCTTATCAATGACGCAAATCGGTAATATTTTAACTCGAAATTTCGTGGTATTACGAATTGTCTTTGATTATGAGTTTGATTTTATCGTCCATAGGAGGTCGCCACGCTATGTATCTATGCAACCGAAGTGTGGTATGAACTAAACAAGGAAACCATCTTCTGCCACTGCTGAAATTTGCTACATTTAAAAGATGTTTGCATTTATTACCTGCTTCTGAATCCGTTATTTTATTTTTTGGAAGCTCAACCAGAATATTAAATTTTTTTATGTCTTTCACATCTCACAGATGCGTTACGTCAATTTCCAGTATATATATTGACGCATGAAACATAGATTTTATCTAATGATTTTGATTGCATGCTAAGCGGTTCAGTTGATGATTCATTTTATATCCCTGCCTTAATAACCTGAGCAAAATGTTAGTTATAAACCTACTAGGAACGATGTTGTTTTTGGTGTGAGTGCCCAGCCTCATTTGCAATGGTATTCGTGCATAGTATAAACTTGTCTAAAATTTGTAATGCATTTCTGAGTGGAAATTACTTTAAAATGAGCGGTATTTTTTGTTATGGTCGAGAATTGAAATTTATTCCTAACTTTGTATACTTTGTATTGTTAAGATTCTTGTTCCGTTTTTTGCAATAGTTTTTTGCTTTTGTCATATTTTAAATTTTTTTGAAATTTGTATATTATTCATTGAATTATAGCAGTATTTCATCGAAATAATTCCTTTTGGTGTATATAAGCTGATTGCCTGCCGCTGATCCATTTAGCTCCTTTGAATTTATCGACCTATTTTCAAATTATTGTAATTGCTGCAATGCGATCTGTAATTAATTTAAGGGTTATTCGGTTCCAATTCTTATCACATTAATATTCTTGTATGGCATCCAGTTTCATGTTTTGATAAAGAGCAAAAAATGCATTTTATTCTGTGCTGCAATTATAGGTCGCCTAATTCATAATCAAATGACGGTGGTCGAGGGAGTTTGACTTATGGTTCTACTACCATCACTGCCACACACAAGCTCCACTCCTTTCTCGCCGTCATCATTATTAAGACATTTATTGAAATCGCGTGTGGAAACTAAAGAAAACGAGATGTAGGGTCTGTGCAATGATATTGAGGAAGCAAGACCTAGTCTCTCTTAAAGGAACCGAAAAAATAAATCTTAAGCTTCTCCTAAAAAGTAATAATACCATCTCAGTGACATTAGCTTTGGAGCAATTAAAATGTGACCGTATGGAACTAATTCAGATTGTTTCCGAGCAAGTAAATAATTATTAATGATCCTTACTTGCGCCTACTTAGTCATTGATTGCTCCTAGGTGTGATGTGGGCGCCACTAGATTTCGTACCAGAATTATTAGGATGGTGTATCGTTTTAGACGTCATCGGGATGCTTTTGTCTGCGCCAAGTTTTGAGTTTAGGGAGCTGTTCGAACAACAATCGGTCCATGTCTTGATGTTACTTGTGTGCTGGAGAACTGCTAGAATATTAGCCCAATAGATAGAAAGCCTGACCATTCATAACCTAGATTGGATTTCTGTACAGTTCAGAGGTTTTTCCCGAGTTTATGGTAATCGCTTTAGCTTTAATCTTTCCTAAGTAATGTCCATGGCTTCTGGTTAGGCGTTAATGATATCAGTCTATTAATATCTTTGAAGGGTGCACTCTATTATTATTATTTACTTTATTTTATAATTAAAGAATTCTCGCATCGTAGGGTATTGACCTTGAATCGATTTTATGTGACATCATACATGTTTATAACAAGCAACCGCAGTGACGACGCTTCGACTAAGACGTCTCTCCAGCCCCGTCGTGTATACCGTTAACGGTAGGAATGTGTTTATAGTTTCTTTATCCATAGTGGAAAACAAGAGACTTTTTAGTTGCCCTACATTTTTGAGTCCTATTTTTATAATTTGACCACTAAAGCATAATTGAAACCGGCGTTAACATACATTAAATGCAATTATAAAGCAGAACGGAAAGTAAAAATGAACTGGCAGTTGAAGTGTCTCTTGGTGCCACCTGCAAGTTGATATTCCCACTAACACCTCTGGCAAATCATTCTTGAATTCCATTAAATTTAGTCTCATTGAAATAACTTTACATCTTTTTGTCTTTGCTGATTGTATTAACAATGAATCATTAGTTTGATGTTAATGAGTAGGAGTTTGACATTGCTTTTTATATCTGAACTTTTCAAAGGCCGAAAATTTTTCATCGGTTCCCTGATAGCGTGTTCATGATGCGCAACGGGCAGTAATAATTTTTTATTGAGTTTCGCGAACATCAATGTAACCTTAATAATATTTTCAGAGTTCTATTTCTATTTTAATGTGTGTTACTAAAATTCTCCTGAACTTTTAAGGCTAAAGGTATGACTTTCAAGACTACATGAAAAACACATTCACAATTTCGAACCTATTTCCTAGATGCGAGTTTTCCAAATATTCTATTTCCACCCGCACCATAATTATTTATCAAATTTATTTCGTTCGCCTCTGACCGCAAGTGTCGTGCTTCTGAAAACGCTTTTTTTTTAGATTTAGCTGGGGCGATTGTTCTCGTTCTGTGCATTTGTTTTCACATCTATTGTTCTGTTTAGACCTCGGGGTTTTAAAGAGGCAAACTAACACTTTCTAAAAATGTTTTCAAAAATTATGATGAAGAACACGTCACCAATTGGTTGATTACATTTTTGAATCGTTAATAAGTACAGGATAAAAGTCAATCGCGTTCTTGTTTATGATTTGGAAATAGTAGAATGATATATCCTAGGTTAAGATATATTTTAAATGAAGATATTATTTCAGGACGCGAATGCACGGAACGAGATAAATTGCGTGTCTTAGTCCTATTGTGAATTGGATATTTTAGCTGCATTACACTACTTTCGTCACTCTCGAATAAAGCGGTGATGCTGTCGTGTGTTTCCTGTCTACTAACCCCACTCAGAAGAGTACTGCATTGCATTGGTATTATGCGTTCACTCACTCCATTCATCTAACAATGTAATTTCGCCTTGCGATTCGCCATGTTCTATTATTCAGTTAACGAATATTATGGGTCCCTGCCAGACCATTACTAGAGGATCGTGCTGAGAAAAACTTGCGGTTGTATTTCATAAAATAACATGTTGAAATGAAACTTAGGCAAACAAAATAAAATTGACAAACATTTCAATGGTAGAGCTATTCATAACAATGGTTAAACTAATATTTCTTGCCTTTGCTTCGTTTCTTCAGCAGACACGACAGCGAGGTCCAAGCAGCGTCCTTCTGCACCATCAGCAAAATCAAATGACAAGTCGCATGCAAGACATTTCTTGTTTTTGTTTTCCTCCATTGATAATATCTTATTGTACTGCGATGTGCGAATAGATCTAGATTGTAAGTAGCTAATAAAAATTAGAAGTTAAATGACAGTAAACGTAAACTATTTGGGAGATGTGGAAAGTTAAAATTTAGTTATCACATTTTTTCCACGTTGAAAGATTTAACGCTAACCAGAAAATAAAACCGTGTTGTATCACTTGTATGTTATATGCTATCAATCGCCTTTAGATGGAGAGAGATGGAAGAACACCTATGGTCATTTTGCTTTTCTTTCATGATAATAATTGCAATAATTAGTTAATTTAATTGCATTACCGGCCAAACTGTTCTTGAATTCGGGGCACAATTGTACTGCAAATTAGCTGATATTCATGTCTGAATATCAGCCCAATGAACTTGAGACTTAATTTAGGAACGTGGGGAATAGTGGATTGTGGAACAATCGTCAAAAATTATTATAGCGGGTTCTAAAAGTGTCTTGAGCCGTTTTGGGTCAATGCGACAATTATGCGATATATATTGCCCTCTATAGTGAATAAACCTGCAAAATAAAAGTATTTGAAAACTGTTGGCTTTAATTTTATTTCTCTCACAGTTTCCCTTTTTTCGATGATAATTTTATTTTGTTGAATTTTGAAAATTTTAGAATTTTTATCTCTTTCATTTCCGGTTTTTATCCATTTTTGTTGCCACATAGCTTGCAAATTTATGCTACATTTTCACAATTATTTTCTTCGAGGTAAATAATTTAGTCAGAATTCCCATACAAATTATTACACAGCGAAATTGTTTTCCATTCGGAGTGAATGTCATGATCGTATTGTGTTTTAGTTGTGAATCAGCTGCTTAACGTGCGAGCGTGCCCGGCCGTAACATCTGTTACTGTTACTTTTCATTGAAGATGGCAGTGGGTGATGCGTGATGAGACTGCTGTGAATTGTCCAAGTTGATAGTTTTTTTGTTTAATTTCCTGAAACAATGGGTAAATTTCGTGAAAAATCGAAGCTCACGAGTAATCGATTCAATCCACATAGTGGGAGGCCATCCAAACCCACTAAAAAAGAGCCACAGGGCTTGGCAGTAATTTATGAGAAGGTGCGTGAAAAAAAAATTTGTTTTAAGTAGATGTGTACTTTTTCAAATGAAATGGTGTTGTTCAAAATTGTCTGCTTTGTCATTTCTGAATGCCTAGTAGGCTAGTATTATTTGGCTAGTAAATGGTCCAAATTGTGCTTTATAAGGCATAGTACCTAGTGAAATTCTAGGAAGCAGGAAGCCTGAGGAAGGGAGGTACCTACTTAGGCTACTTATGGCACTCTGCCTTTGGTTGAGCACTCTGGCAATTGGCAACTTGCGGCAGTCTAAACTCAGCCCGGTCTAAACCCAGCTTGGTCTCTCCTAGAGCCCAGTGGAGTTTCAAAATTGATTTTGATAAAAAAATAAGAATTGAACTGTAAAACTGCTTAATGACTTCCCTTGATTGCATAGTGGCAAAGCAGAGAGTTTTTTAGACTCTCCCTCAAGTTCATTTCTGAGTCTTATAAGTAGAGCAGTAAAGTATCCTGGATACCAGCATTTTCATACTTAAGAAATTGGTTTAAATCTTGAGTAAATGAGGAAATTAAAAATGAACTGATTCTAAAAAATCTCTGGTTTGCCACTATGCTTGATTGCACTTGCGAAATGCCATCAATGATTGAAAAAATGACAATAACTTACTTTCATTGGTTGCCAAGGCATCTTTTTGGGCCCAGGCTTCCCTGACTTTCTTCCTTGGTTTCTCTTTCAAGCTTTATGATTCATGCCATCGTTGGAAAAGAATGTCGATACTTGATAATATACAACAGTAAAAAATATTCACAAATTGCAACTCCGGGTCCGGGACTTCCTCTAGAAATATGTGGAGTTTCGAAATTGATATAAATAAATCATTAAAGATTTGAATTGGGAAATTCCTTAGTTAATTATGTTGGTTCCAGAATGATATCAATGAGGTAGGGTAAACGCGGTATATTCCGACATCGTACGTAATTCCGTCACCTCTCCAGCTTTTCCTTTATATTAAGCTTTGTTTTAGTTCCATGCGTTCATTGATGGTTGAAATGGTGACGTCGTACATTTGCGTGTCGAAATACTGCAAAAACACTAGGTCTTGGCCATCTAGTGGGAAAATATTGAGATCCAAGAAGAGACAATGCATGCCATGTGGTGAGATCATCAAAAAATGTTAGGAACTGTTTTTATAGGAAGAATATTATGGTTTGAGACTTTTAAATACGTCTGTGAATATATTAGGAATCCTTTAAGTATACTTGTATTCGCTGATTTCAAGTCGTAAATAAATTAATAGATGATTAAGTTGAGATGTTGGATTTAGACACATGAAAACTAATTCCGACATAACTTGAATTGGACACACACAGATCGTTCGGTATTATTGCAGATTAACTACATCCAAAAAAAAGGGTGTTTTTTTTTTTTTAATTATATGTTTTTTGGGGTGTAGATTACGAATCTGAAATCCATTTTTGGCGGTCGGCATCGGAAAACCGATTTTTTTCGCGACTTACTAACATGGGGGTTACGTAACTTTTATTAGGGTGGAAAATCTTTCTAATTGCCTAAAAGGTCAAGACAATCTCAACCTCTCAATATACAGGGTGGGGGAGAACTGATTGAGCAGTTTTGAGGTAAAATAAAAGAGTAATGCAGATACATAAAGAAGAAAGTTTATTCTCCTAGAGGTTAGCATAACATACCATTTAGAAAACTTATGTTTCAAAAACAATATCTGGAAGATGGGGCTGTTAGCTGCAACACACTGTTGGAGTCGTTCTCGGAGGAGGGAGTAACCGTGATAGTGAATTCCGATTGCTCTGCTGCATGTTGCAAAATTTCTTGCAGCCTATGATGGAAAACATTGTTAAAAATGAAGCATTGGGAGATGTGTGGTTCCAGCAGGATGGGGCTACAGCTCACACAGCCCGAATGTCACTCAATGTTTTGAAACACATGTTTCCCGGAGGAAACGTATGTTTCCCGCATGTTTTGAAACGCATGTTTCCCGGATGCATGTGTCTCTTAGGGGTGATTTGCAGTGGCCTTGCAAGGTCACCTGATTTGAGCATTTGTGATTTCTTTCTTTGGGGACATCTAAAAGAAAGGGTGTTAAGAAGTTGCCCTCACACCCTACTACAGCTAAGGGATTGGATTATTGCAGCAGAGGTGATGGCCATACCTTGCCATATGTGTGAACGTGCTGTAGAAAACTTCCAAGAACAACTCCAACAGTGTGATGCTGCTAACAAACCCCATTTTCCTGAAATTGTTTTCAAAACGTAAGTATTTTAAATACTATGTTATGCTAATCTTGAGGAAAATAAACTTATTTCTTTATGTACCTCCATTACTCTTTTATTTTGCCCCAAAACTGTTCAATCAGTTCTGCCCCACCCTGTATAAGCTAGCTAACACATTTAAATTGCATATTGTAATCAATATATAACAAATAGTCAAATAGTTTAAGACTAGGAATTTAAAAGCAAAGAAAATACCACAAAAATTCACCATATCTTTATAAGAGAAAACGTTTCGGAGTCCAGCTCCATCGTCAGTTCAAAGCACAAAATTATGTTAAGAAAAAGTTCAGTCTTAGAAACACAAATAAATCAATTAGTAAAGTAAAATGCACTAAAAATAAATAGATAAGACATGAAAATAATGCTAGTAAACGTAAACAGCCTATCTATTTACTATTTCAAGAGGAAAGGAGCTAAAAGCAGCATTCAAACTAGGCTTCTGTTTGAATATATACAGGGATTCTAAAATTCGTAGATCACTAACACCGGATGCAGAAGCTAGAATTTTGAAATCACTATCAGATACAGAGGTGTTGCACTGCTTGGCATGAACACGTACAGCAGAATGAGGTGGATATGCAAGTAGGTTCCCTGTTCTATAACTCCTGCCCTTATGCTCAGCCAGCCTAGTATAGAAATTGCGTGCCGTCATAGTCATACTGACAGGTAGGTAGGGTATCCTTATACCTGAAAAACGAGCCGATTCTAAAATTGTTAACCAGCAACACATGAAGATTTACATCCGGAAGATATTTGGCAAATGAAACTTTTAATTCCTTTGACATAGTCTCAGATGCGGGTCCAAAGTAGGGAAAAGAACAGTAAACAACTTTCCTATTGTCACACTTGGGAACAACTGCAGTATATTGCTTGGACATAAACTGGGTGAGCACCAGGTGTGATGGAAATCCATTTTGTGAAAAGATATTGCGCAACAATTCAAATTCAGAGTGCATGGCTAGGAAAGTAGAACAAATGCGATAGGCTTGGTTTATCAATGTTTGGACCCCATTTAACTTGAAACAAAAGGAGCAAAAGCTAAAAAAGCTGGTGCTTAAGCTGGTAAATGTCGATTTTCTAAAAACAGAAGTTTGGAACAGCCATTAGATTTGGTAATTTTGCAATCAAGGAAAGACAAGCTATTGTCTGATTCCAGCTCCATGGTGAATTTGATGGACTTATGTTGGAGATTAAGATAGTCAAAGAAAAGGCCCATATGAGAGGGGTGCTTAAAAATCAAAAGGGTCTTTCCTTGATTGCAAAGTTACCAAATCTAATGGCCATTTCCAAACTTCTGTTTTTAGAAATAGACATTTACTGGCTTGAGCACCAGCTTTTTTAGCTTTTGCTCCTTTCGTTTCAAGTCAAATGGGGTCCAGACATTGATAAACCGCGGCTAATGCATTTGTTCTACTTTCCTAGCCATGCACTCTGAATTTGAATTGATGCGCAATATCTTTTCACAAAATGGCTTTCCATCACACCTGTGCTCACCCAAATTAAAAAGTTTATGTCCAAGCAATATACTGCAGTTGTTCCCAAGTGTGACAATAGGAAAGTTAACTGTTCTTTTCCCTACTTTGGACCCGCATCTGAGACTATGTCAGAGGAATTAAAAGTTTTATTTGCCTAATATCTTCCGGATGTAAATCTTCATGTGTTGCTGGTTAACAATTTTAGAATCGGCTCGTTTTTCAGGTATAAGGATACCCTACCTGTTTTTATGCGATAGTCACAAGTTTACAGATATAGTTGTGCGCATCAGTGTACGTCGGTATGACGGCACGCAATTTCTATACTAGGCTGGCTGAGCATAAGGGCAGGAGTTATAGAACAGGGAACCTACTTGCACATCCACCTCATTCTGCTGTACGTGTTCATGCCGAGCAGTGCAACACCTCTGTATCTGATAGTGATTTCAAAATTCTAGCTTCCGCATCCGGTGTTAGTGATCTACGAATTTGAGAATCCCTGTATATATTCAAACAGAAGCCTAGTCTGAATGCCGCTTTTAGCTCCTTTCCTCTTGATATAGTAAATAGATAGGCCGTTTACGTTTACTAGCATTATTTTCATGTCTTATCTACTTATTTTTAGTGCATTTACTTTACTAATTGATTTGTGTTTCTAGGACTGAACTTTTTCTGAAAAGAATTTTGTGTTTTGAACTGACGTTGGAGCTGGACTCCGAAACATTTTCTCTTATCCAATATGGTGAATTTTTGTGGTATTTTCTTTGCTTTTAAATTCCTGGTTAACTTGCGATTAAAGCAAACAAGTGATTTTAATAGTTAAAGACTACTTATAGCTTATAAGAATTAGCTAAGCTTCTAGCTATGTACAATGTATTGCACACTTGATGCCTCTGTACCGAAAACATTCAATTAATTGGAACCTAATACACACTAAAGGCAACAAGTTTATATACCAATTTGTCATTCATAGTACATTTATACTAAACCATGAATAACAATACCTCAATATAAATTAGAGACTGCCACTCAATATATTTAAATATATAAAAAAAATAAAATAATAATAATAAAAAATCACGATTTTTTATAAAAATCATGATTTTTTTATAAAAAATCGAGTGATTTAATCACATGATTTAATCATTGCCAACCCTGAAAGTATTTCATTTGATTGCCGCTGCTGGCGCTGGCATCTGTATGTGAACCTTATGTGTGTAATTTTAATTCAACATGGAATTATGGAGATACAACTTCTATGATG